TTTTCCAATAAAATCCAGTGGTGTCGAAATATGGGGGTAAAAAAGGGAAACCCCCTCAAAATCTCCGCCGCTGGGCCTTTTGTAAAAAATATTACCTACACAAAATTTGAGCAGAATCGGTTTAATGGTTTAAAAGATATTTAAAAAAACGTTTTTTTGCCTTTGAAGGGCTATTAGTGTGTTAGTGTGTATTTTTGAAAAATGTTTTTGGGTTTGTTTTTATTGTTTTTTCAGGCTCTATTGATTATTAAAATTTTTCAGATTAATCCTGGACCACCCTGTATATTGAAAGATTTCAAAAATTTATGTACAAATTTTTTAAAAACAATTATTTCTATATTGTGTGTAGCGACTTAAATGTAAATATCTTGCAGATTGCTGTCAAAAAATTATTTGTTAAATATCTTAAGTGAGTTTAATATAAAACCTGACATAAATGTTCCTACTCGTATAACAACAAATACAGCTATCTGCATGATAATATATTTTCAAACTTAGATGTAAATAATACTCAAATTAATGGTATATACTTTACGGATCATTACTATCTGATGTGTAATTTTTTTTCAAGGAATCCAGTAGGACTGAAAAAAATGTATATTGAGAGAGGATTTTTCTGTAGAAGAATTTTAAACTTTTATCAGAGGAATCGTGGTCTGTATATGGGGAAGGCGATTCTAGTGCTAAATTTTTTCTCAATAGGTTTCTTTTTTATTATAATTGTGAATTTCCGCTGTGTAAAAAAACAATAAGAAATAAATAATGGTTTACTAGAGATCTAAAACAAATTCATCAACAATTATGCGAAATGAAAACTCTTTCTAGGACTCTCAATAACCCGACATATACGAAACGATATAAAGAATTTAAGAGAATTTATGAAAACTCTATAATTAATGGCAAAAAAAACATAAATAATTCTATTGAAAATGCTACTAACATCTCAAAGGAAAGTTGGAAGATAATTAATAAGTCTAAAGCCGTAAGGCATTTAATATCTGAAATACTAGTAAATAATACTACCTTTAATGATCCAAAAGATATGTGTGCAATTTTTAACAATCATTTTATTAATAATATAAACAATACTTTGGTACCTGAATTTTATTGAAAATTAATCTTTTACCGTGTCCGAAAAGTTTTTTCTTCATTCCGTAACTAATTGATACAATTAAAAAGACTACTAAAAAGCATGCAGCTGGATTTGACAATATCGACGGTAAAATCTTAAACTTGGTTGGAGAAATTGTAGGTGTTCCTCTGACGCACCTTGTGAACTTGTCCTTTTTTGATGGAGTTTACCCCAGCTCATTAAAGAAGTCTAAGTGTATACCGGTATATAAGGGAAAGGGTTGCAAAAATGATCAAACTATAGACTATATAAACTTTTGCTTAAATACTTTAATCCGTAGGTGTACGGGGTCCACCCCTTAAGTGGGTCGGTCTCCTCTTATTTATTCGACAGAAAAAAATGCACAATCAAGTGGTAAAAAAGTCTCACTTGGGGTTCAATTCTTTGGCCTTTGATTTTTATTATATTTATTAATGACATATCTGTCTTATTTAATAAACATGCTAAATTTGTATTGTATGCTGATGATACAAATGTATTGCTTATGGATAAAGAAATGAAAAATCTTTCCAAAAACTCTTCCTTGGTGTCAAATCAGGTTAGTAAAAATGGATTACTATTAAATGTTAACTAAACAAACTTTATGCAATTTTTTGCAATGCAAGGCTTGATTTTAGTCTATACATAAACATTAATAGTTTATCAATTTCAGCCCGCGATACAGTAAAATTCTTGGGTATAACATTTGTTCAAATAGCTCCCCAAACGCTGCCGAAGAATACTCCAATCTGTTATATATTTCTTAATTAATTATCATTTCTCTTAACTCATCGAGATTTTTTTTGTCCCTAAGATGCTGAAACCCGTACATTTTCGACACGGAGCCAAGTCCGGTGATCTTGCTGAACGTGGCCACTTATTACACGTTATGAAAAAGTGTTTTGCAAATATTCTCTGACCAACAAAGTATGATGTGCGAAACATCCATCCTTCTGAAACCACACGGCTTCAAAAGACACAGGCCCCTGCGGAGACAATTTGATTTTGCAGCAGTTCTAATGACCATTTAACGTACCATCTATAAAAACGTTTAATTTTTGAGGTCTTTGTGTGTTGGCGGCATAAAATTTGTGATGACTCGTCCTGGACAAATATCGTTTGTTCACGGAATTGTGCCTACCATGTAAAGTAAATGATGACTCACCGGTGAAAAGGATATTTTTAGTAAAATTTTCATCCCGGTTCGCCATTTCCATAACGTTTTCGCAAAATTTCATGCGACGGTATTGATCAGGACCAGGAAACTGCGCATTGTCTCTCTTTAATTTATTTGAGTGATACTCATCATAAGTAACTCATGCTCTCTCAAAACTTTTACTTTCATAGACATGAAAGTTAAAACTGTATAGCAACAACTTGTTTGGTTAACTGTTCGATGTTTGCAAAAAAAGTGTCCCGTAATTCGGGCTCTTCATTCACGGGCCTTGCTTGCAGTTCCCTATTATGAGTAAATTGATTAACGCTGCCATATGGAACAAAATTATTTAGAACATTTTTGTTGCTCTTGCTGGTAAAGGCCTATTTGGAAACATTGGAAAATGATCGTTGAATTTGTAGATCCGAAATACAACTTATATGCCAAGAAATAATTTGATTAGAGTGTAGACCATTTTTATTTAAGAATATCTGAAATTGTACCACAAAAACACCACCGCATAGTTTCAACACATTCCCTGATCTGAGTATGAGTCCGAAGCGACAAGTGGTACCCGCGGCAGACTGCTCCACCATGGTTCACCACTCCGACTACAAAATCCCATGTATTTTTAGTAGAAAAGTCACCATGATTTTTTTCAGATTTTTTTGAAAATATTTAGAGGTCTCTAAATCATTTTTATGAGGAAAAGGCTCTGTTAAAAATTTAAGCCTGTCATTTTTTAACATTTAAAAATCTAAAAACCATTCTAATTTTTTATAAAAAAAATTATTTGAATATTACACCCCCATTTCATCAAAAAAAATAAGCTAAAATAAGTTCTTTTAAATTAGGAAAAAAGGGATGAAACTTGCAGTAAATATTCTTCTTTTGATATCGAACAATACCACGAATCGATAATTTTGTTTTACATTATTTATGTAGGTTTTTTATTAATTGAGAATAAAGTAATTAATAATTTACAACAGATTCCGAATCGACCAATAAGAACGAGTTATCAAGCCTCTGGGCGTTTTTGTTACATAAACTCATCTTGAACCATAATTACAGTTACAGTTAATTACTTTTTCAAGAAGTAATAACCACAAAATAACAAATTAAAAAATTAACAACACCATTTTTTATTCGAAGCTTCAATTTTCGGGACATTACGACAGAATAGTGTCGGCAGGAAGAAGGTTGGGTTTTATAACGAAAATGGAGCGCGATTTTGCAAATTTTAGATCCTTTGAGACATTGTTCAGTTCTTTGGAAAGATCAAAGTTGGTGTATGCTTCAATTATATGGTCCCCGTGATATAATATCAGTTTTAATAGACTTGAGTCAATTCAAAACAGATTTGCAAGGTTTGTTAAAAATAAATTTTTAACAAACAGTGAATTAACTACTGCCCAAGCTAAAGAATGTTTAGGTTTATTGACATTAAGGCGGAGAAGAGTTTCCAGTGAACTGATGTTCTTTTATTAGGTAGTGAACGGGTTAATTGCCTCTCAGGACATATTGTCATGCTTGGTTCCTAATTTTAGAACAGTTTATGCTAGTAACTCACTCTTGACTCGCGTTTGTAAATATGTCACTATTGTGATATAAATTTTTTTTGTCAAGGATGTACCAAATAAAAAGGTTTATGTGATTTACTATTTTTAAGTTATATAATTCTTAAAAATAAATGTAATATTGTTATTTATTTGTTATATATATATATATATTATTTAATTGTTTTATACGTACCCGGAGAACATTCGTGATATTCATACGAATATCATGTCGTGATTTTCACAAATTTTATTCATGCTGATATCATACGGAAGTCACCGCGTGATAAATGAAAATCATACGAACGTCACGTAGTGAATTTCACAAATTTTATTCATACGGACATCATCCGGATGTCACTGCGTGAGAAATAAAAATCATGTCGTGATTTTTTATGCCATCGCTGTTTGCGATTGACCGATGGCACAAAAAATCATGTCTTAATTTTTTATGCCAAAGGTGTTTGGATAATCATTTTTGCGCCACGTTCGTAACTAAGAGAAAAATTATGTTAAATCAACAGTTTTTGCGGTTAAATACATTTAATATTTTCTTGGATTTAAATTAACTATACAGGGTGTTTCATAATATATGCGCAGGACTTCAGGATGTGATAACTCATCCAAAAAGATGAAAAAAGTCGCTATTAACTTACCCTGTAAAATGCACAATTTTCGAGATACAGGGTGTTGAAATTTTAGAAAAAAAATCGTTTTTTTAGATTATCTCTGGAACCGTTTATCGTACAAAAAACAGCTTTTGTAAGCATTTTCTACTCAAAATAAGCTATGTTTTGTGCTAGAAAAAAATAATGAGGTATTACTTGACCCCCATTCCCATTTGATAAAATTTGGACGATGAACACCACACTTAGGGGGAAGATGTTGCTTTATTTTTTAAATCAAAAGTTGTCCCCTGACAAACAGACTTGACGTGTTTTTGGATTTTGCCGAAAAGTTATTTCGCAGCCTGTAATGCCTTGCGGTACGTTTTCGATGGGCCACCCTATTAAAACAATGGCAATAATATGTCATAGGAGTAGAAAATAATACATGTTTCGGTCATAAGGTTATTATTATTTTTTGTTTAATCTGTTTAGAATTTTCTTAATTCCATAAAAAATTGTTCTACAGTTACAGGTGTCGCTGAAAGGACCTAAGTGCTAATGAAACTTACCATTTTGAGTGACTTTAACGCTTGTCCCATCTCTTATATAAAATCCAAGTGGTTTATCTGATCCGTGTTTAAGCAGTCGCACACGTCTACATGTCTCAGGCACAATATCGACATCTATGATAGCCGACACTTGTCGAAAGTCATGCGGGTTCGAAATTGCGAGCGGTTTGACTCTTCCTGGAGTTCCGCCGCCCAGGATGGTCGAAATCAGATTGCGGTGTTTCATGGTACCATATCCGTTAAGTTCCTCAAGACTGTCACCTATATTTAAATGTATGATTATAATATAATTGTTGTCTTATTAAGGATTTATGGTATTAAACAAATTATAGTTTGGTTTTTAAATAATAATCAAAAACATCGTATAGAAAAAAAGTATTTTATTTGACAAAAAACAAATGTTGTGTTTCTTTTAAATAAATTCGATTGGGAAACTCCTCAATTGGAGTAGCAAAATCACCTGTAGCATTAACTAATTTAAAAAAATAACGTTTACCTCATTCCCTAAAAATGTTTACATTAAATTTAAATGTTTTTAAAAAGAAAAATTAAATTTATACTCTGCTTATTTTTATTTCATGTGCAATCCCAAAATTTTAAGTGATTTATATGTTGTGTTTTACGTAATTGCCAATGGAATAAAAAAGTTAAATCTAAGATAATCTAACTCTGACACGCGTCTAGGGGGAGACCAATAGGAATCCTGAGGAGAAAATGAGCGTGGCTAATTATTTAAACTCAATTTAAAAGAAATATAGTGTGTTCAGGTAATGAAATGTACTAACTACTATTAAGGGACATAACCCCATTTTTTTGGCTTCACTCCACAAGTTTTGAAAAACACGTGCACCGATATATGTATTCCCGTGGCTGTGCGTAATTAAGACTTCGGGTCAAATTTGACCCCCGCGATAGTACGTGATTTTTTTGTATTATCTTGAAAAAATGGATATTTTGTTTTTTTTTAAATAAAGGTTTTGTTAACTGCACCTGCGTTTTTAAAAGGCTTTTTTAAGTGGGGTCAGTGGGGACCCCACGATAGTAGACTAATATAAACTATATACAACTGCTTAACAGTTGAACTGGATAATTATAATTATCCCGAAATTTTAATGTAATAATGTTGTCGATCCCACTCTGTATGTTGTGTATGAACACATCTGCAGTAAACATTTTTTGCAGTTTTTGTTGTTACTTCTTTAAAACAACTATATAGAAGTGTGGTTTTAAAATTACAACCTTTTAGTGTGCCAGAAGATCTTGTACCGCCTTTATTACTTGTTATAAGAATGAACGTCAGTTCATTCGCATTAAAATGATGCCGTTACGTAGATTAATAGCAGTACAATTTGTGCGTTGGATAGGTTTACCTCAAGAAGAAGTCGTAAGTCGATCATGAAGTCGGTATGTAGCAACTGGGCCTTCAGCATACACGTATTGTAAACGATCGGATAGAATGGAATGGCCAGCATGTTCACCAGACTGGAATTGCATTTAAAACGTTTGGGCCGAAATGTCCAGGCAATTCAATCGAAACTTGATCATGAGTCCTACAAACCGTGTAACAAAATTAAGGCGAGCCAGGGGTGGTCCTACACGATATTAAACTTTTATATAACTGGTGCAAAAACAAGTAATACAATAACTTTGGATTTGTTTATTTTTAAATATTTGTATCTTTTACTTTAATTACACATTTCTTTAAATTTAATAAATGTTTTTTGATTTCTTTTGTTTTATGATAACGTCCATCAGTAAACCATTATTCAATGTTCTTGAAATTTGTTATTTAAAATATTGACGCTGGCAATTTTAATTTTTCCTAATACTCACAATTGTTGAGCAGTATATACGGTATAACACAACTATAGTTGTACGCAAACTAAATTTTTTTGTGTCCCGAGGCGGGAGGTTCCTTCCCGAGTGACGTAATATTTTGACGTCACACATAAATCGGTATTATTTCCTGGGTATTATATGATTTATATTTGGCTGCGTAAAAAAGACATCCTGTATATTGAATCGTAGTGTTGTAATTTACAAAAGCTGTGAAAAAAATAGGAAATAAGATAATTTAAATAGTATAGACATTAGTTATAGACTATTTGTGATTCGTGAATGTGTGTTATGCGTTTGTAAAATGAACGGCCGCTCGTAAGTGCCGTTTTTCCGCGAAAATAGGTCCCACCAAGCCTAATGACAAGCCGGGCCCCGATGAAAAAAAAAGACAATTAAACCAAAGCTAAACGCGCTACCACGCGCCAAAACAACGAGTATTGAAAATTTTAATGATCCAAAGCTGTACGAAAGGGCGGTAAAACTCGGACTGGTTAGAAAAACGCCCCGTACATCGCCAGCCAAATCCACCATTTCAGTCGGTAAAGCAGTTACCGATAAACACGACAAATGCTCACATCACTCCCAACTATAGAAAATACAGCCTCACGAAGAAACAATAGCCCCCTCGAACCCCAATTGGGTCTCTGAGAATATGTCCGAAGCAGAAAACGAATCAGGAGACCAGGATAAGCAAGAAATAACCGATAAGGACAAACTAGACAAAGAGTATAACAATCCTAATAAGGTTATAACAACACAAGCACCAATCGTATTACAGAATATAACACTTACACCGCACTGGACGCTGAACAACCCAACCCAACCCCAACATCCAAGCAGCCACAGTGAACACGCCCACTGCCACCGTATCTACGATTACAACCAATCCCAGCGCCTGCACGCCATACACGGTAACAACATACCCCAATTGCTTCGATCGGTAATGATACACTTAACACACAACATCAAAAATGAAGATAAAACATCTAAAGAAGGTGAAACTCATGGCTCGCAACAGAATAAAAAATTTAAATTCACGAAACCCAAGAACTTCATACCTATCTTAACTATTATAAAAAGAAAATGCGCAGAAACAACCACTAAAACCGCAAATAAATACGAAATCTTAAACAAAAACATATATGATACCAGCAAAGCTAACAACGACCCACAACCCAGCACCTCAAAAGTAAATAAGGAACAAAAAAACATTAACGAAAACAAAACACAAAAACAAAAGATAAAAGAACCTCCCCCAATAGTTCTAGCCGGTAAAACGGAGTTAAAACATAAAGGTTAAGGTTAAGTGGAAGAACAGATGTTTTCTTTTAAACACGCTGAACTTCGCCGTTTGAAAATGTAAAATGTTTCAATAAAGACTTATATTCTTATTATTAATATTATTATAATTAAATAATCGACAACCTTAAAAAACAACAAGAAAAATATAATATTAAACATCAAAAATGATCGAGAATACAATAACTACCTGTATAATCTTAAAGAATCACATACTCCATTTCACACATATACGAAATTTGAAGACAAAACTGCGTTCATTATGAGAGGACTCGACGCCTCAATGAGTTGGAAAAAATAAAAAATGCACTATTCGAGGAGCACGACATAACTACAATTACCATTTATATGAGTATGAGTATGGGGACGTATGGCAGGTCCCATCGACATTGCCTTACTTCTCCCAGGTATATTTTACCCCCTTTCCGTTCTCATGCGTATCTCGCAACTTCAGAGCATTACCTGTATTTGTTGGATCCGAATTTTTACGCCGGCTGGTAGCACTCCCCTAGGAGGTCGTGGATGACAAGTCGATGGTAAAGGCCATTCGCGGAATTTGTCGCCGGGCCGACCATACGCCAAATTTAGGCTAGAGGAGAGCGGGACAAGGATGGAAATGTATTGGTTTTCAGAGGACATTGAACTGCCCAAAACTAAGTATAATACGGAATCCTCCTCAACCAGGGCTTTAGTAATGACCCTAAGAGCCTATCCTTATTGGTGTACTTCCTGTTCGTATGTATATGTTCGCCCCTGTTCGTGTTGTATTTCGATTTTGACGTTAAATACTTCCGATGCTGTTGTTTTGATTCCCCCCCCCAGAACCCCTTTTGTATGTGATCATTTAAGTACGCCTCTGTTTAACGTCCTATGTCTGTAATGTGTGCTTAACGTATGGTCTAAATGTTATAAAGTTTTTCCTTGTTTGTGTCCCCAGGCAGTTAACGTCGTATTTTTCTAACAATTTTGTTGTCTATAATGTTAATTAAAAAGTTCCCCCTTTTTTTGCTATAAATTATTGTGGTAAATTTCTCATTAATTCTTTGCGTGTACCTACTTATTAAAATGTAGTTTTGTCAATGCGTTTTATTTATTCCATCTCATTGGTTGGTGCTTTAATTGTACCTGCTGAGTGGTCTGTTTAACTTTTTATGTTGTGTTTGGTTTTATTAAGATTTATGAGGTCAGGTTGGCGTTTTTGTATGGTTTAGTCGAGTTTGTATGGGGAATAATCTTAATGTTATGTTATGATTTATGGGTTTATGTCTACCTAATATTTCCTTTTGGGACCGTTGGCGCCTGGCTGCCAGTAACTCATGGTAATTAGCGGTTGCAAGTTTGCGTTTGGATTAGAATTTAAATTTAAGTTTATATTATAATTTCAGTATTTTTAGTCATGCAATTAGATAAATTACTTATCGGAATTAAGTGGCTTGATGTTCTGCAGAATTGACTCTGTCGCGCGGCATGCCGCGGCACGCCGTTCTTTGATGTCAACTGCTTCCACTCGCTAAGTTTTCGTTGTGACCTCTCTCGCACATGTTTACGCCCGCTCTCTATTTAACTTAAAGCGGGGAAAACATGCACTTTTCACTCTTATTATATTTATTATTTATTTATTAATTAATTCTTTTTATTGCTTATTCTTGATTTTCTTTTGCACGTGTATTCGAATGATAGTGGTTTAACACTTTAAATCATTGTTTCGGCCCTAATTGATCACTTTCCCGGGATATTCACTGACAATTATTAACAATAATCGCCCTCGGTGGTCTAGTAGTTAGCACTGCGGACTACAAGCCGAGAGGTCGTGGGTTCGAATCCCACCAGGGGTATGGCTGTTTATTTGTGTTTGTCATTGTGTACTTCTGTAATTGGGCCTGGTGCCTGTTGAAGGCACATTAAAAATAATAAAATAAAATAAGATAAATAGCGTCAAAGACATCAAAGATGCCATAGATATATTTATCAAAAACATAATTACCGCGAAAGACAAAACTACCACCACGAAAAAAATAAAACCTCCCCGACAATATATTAGAAAAAATCAAAAGAAAGAATAAAGCAAATAACTTTTTAAGCTTCGTAGCAAGATACAATACTATATAATAGACTTAGAAACG